GAGGAGGAGAAGACAAGGATCAAGATAAAGAAGTAGGAGAATATACAGACACCGGGACGAAACCAGTTTTCTGTATGTAATTTCTTAAACCAGAAGGGACAGTCTGCACAGCATCCTGGCAGCCAGAAACTCGGCAGACAACCGACTCGTTATCAGAGTAGACTGGTTAACTAAAGCAATGCTTCTAAAGAAATGCGATGAATTTGCAAATAACCGGCTATTTCAACGCATGCAGATCTATTAGCAATGCAACTAATTTTAAACTGAACTGTAATTTCTGGCGGAAGGGGCGATGGTAGTCTCAACGGGAAAAACGTCAGAAATCCTCTCAGTTCGAAGGCTTACTAAAAGTCCGTCTAATATATGACCGCCAAATAAAGCAGGAATTTATTCATATAAACTCATCGAACTCCAGTAAGTGAAATCAATATTTACATTCTCATACCATCAGTTAATTTTCGGAAAAGTCTTACTGTAGTTAAATAAGATTGCTATTTTTAAAAAAAGTTTTCATAGATTCTAAATTCAAAGAAGTCCACCTCTGAGAACAATGTGACTTTTTGTTATTTAATCCACTTATGTAAATCCCGGTGCACTCATTCCAACCACCTGTCAACTGATCGGCTTGGACGGTGGCTGAGGCACGGGAATGGGAAGGGAGAGTGAGGTCGACGACTCAGCGCATTTTCCTCACTATAAACCATCTGACGCGCTTGAAGTTATCACGGCGAACTAAAGGCCGTGGCCTTGAAGGTTGCCAACTGTCAGTATAACTTGGACGTCGCAGTCGGCCCAGTGTTGTGTGTTTGTGTGGAGTGGTTGACTAGTGATCTAAGAGTCAGGCTGCAATTGCTTCTTCTAGATATGACCTTTATGCCACCTCCGAGACGTGGGATCCGAGCCAGGTGTGGAGGCATGCCTAGGCGAGGCTCCGGCCGTGTCAGTCACACTTTCTTGTTGGTTATAATCTTGGTAATTTGCTGTGTGGACAAGGGAGTGTGAGATGGAACGCCAAGGTGCGGGCTCGACTGTCCCATCCACCTGCAATCTCCCTGACTATGTCTTGACGCCGGGTACAGGTGGGGGAGGAGGTGAGGGTGTGGTAGATGCTGTGCAAGTCTACATTCAGTATGTTTTTCCCGACTCGCTCATATTGCACTGACTGTTGTTAATCACAAGACAGTCACATGTATTACCTCGAGTGCAGGCCCCACCCACAATTCCCTACTCCGCCATGTTAACTTTGTCGTGATCTGTCGACCTTACGGTTTAGTGTTGTGATATTACGAAATAATGGTCTTCTCCGACGTGACGTCATTATTCATAACATACGACAAAATCTAGCTTACGAAACCTGATATGGCAAACCACAAAACTCAGGGCCTGTTTGAATTTTGACACCTCGCGAGCCTGTTCAAACTTTATCAAAAGACTATCTTTACCTTCGCGAGAGAAACCTACGGTCAGATCAAAGGAACTTCAGTGGTGTCTCCAAACTCAGATTAATGGCAGAGGTGGTTTAACAAGACCTAGAAAAGACTGCCTATTTTTATCAGGAGCCGATTTTGAATTCCTGACGTTGACGACACGTTTATTACCGTCAGGAGGAAAATGTTGCACGATTTCCATCACCTGTTTAACTCTACCTGTCCAGATAGGCAATTCAAGAGCGAGGGAGGAAACGGAGAGCAGATGCACTTCCTATATTTGCTCGACAGGCGAAGTCCGAACGGTGAAACGAAGACAACGTCTCACAGGAAGGCCACGGAAAACAAACGGCTTTCCAACTCTCGCAGCAAAAATCAGGTGGGTCTCAAAGGAAACTGTGTGCGAACACGCATCAAAAGAGCCCAGACTCAATGCACTAGCCTGGATGAAAAAAGCATGTGGGGTCGGATATCTCCGTGACCAGTTTATGTGGAAGTTCTTTTCGAAGGCGTTTATAAGTGGATGCCGACCTCTTCGTTCCCGGAAGACCCTGTCGGAAACCATAGATGATATTGCATGCTCCGACGTACATCGGGGCCCTTTCATATGCGATCGAGCGCATTGGTGCCGGATTGCGGCCCAAAGTGACTATGCGCAGCACTGTGCAACGTATCTCCTTCCCAGACTGCTCTTGTTCAGACTGAACGCGTGTTTCGGTCGCACATACACGAGCATAAGTTGGCTGTGTACGGGGTGATGAGTAATAAGGGGTGGCTGCCCACACCCTCGAAACGGGTCACAAGTTTAACTTAGCAGCCGTCAAACTAGTCGCTCGCGCGAGAAGCAAGACAAGTCGAGAACCGATCGAGGCCTGGACCTCGGGTAAGAACTCGACCAGTCGCAGTATTTACACGGTTGCGTAGTCACCTTCAGGCCTGCGGTCCCGAACGTTGT